CCATCAGACCCCCCCCCCCCCGCCAAGAAAAAAAGAAAGAAAGAGAAAAAATATCGAGATTTCCAGATACGCTACTACAAGTACCGGTACGAAATTCACGCATAGAGATTCTATACAACTAGCAAAGCGTTTGTTGGTATAGCTACCCGGGGATATAAGGAGTGATCTTAACATCGCAACAATGTTCCTTGAAATGGATTAATGAAATTTGCAAATTTTACAATTTTCTAATAATTAGGTATATAGTTCCATGCTTAAGTCGTGTGCGTGAAATGTTTGTGTATTCATTGCTTAATGCACCTTTCCAAAGTGATAATCAAACTGAACTGACCAATCAGAACAGTTCCATGAATACGCAAACACACGTTTTCACGTACATTGATACCGCTAATCTCTATTATAATAGCTGGGCTGCTCATCGGCCAATCATTGTACAGAATAAAGTGAAAGGTCCACTACAGGGGCCGATCCAGGTTGTTTTGCAGAAAATCGCCAATTGGAACCTATTGTCCGGATAAGAATATTATGGAATGGAGAGTTTTCCGAAATGAATTAATAAATGTATAGTTTATTTTTGCTGCAACCTGAGGCACGCGCCTCTTTGGACACATCCTGGACCCGCCACTGAAGTGTTATATAAAAAAATGTACCTGATTAAATATCAATAAACACAGGGTTTCTAAATTATATGTTTACATTTTCATCGCTTAAACTTACGATACCAAAGAAGCTCATAAATTCGTTGCCTACTTTTTTAACCATGCTCCGAAATCGTTTTTTTTTTCTTCAGACATCATTATCATGGTCATCCTCCTTGTTATCATCATCCTCGTCATCATCATGAAAATGATATTTAGGCTACTATTCGGACCTATCGTTTATTCTACACAAGATTTTCGTGATGGTTATTATGGACGCATTCCAACCCTAATCTAGGAGGGAATACACTTTTTTAGTATTATTGTATCTTATACCTTTAATCCTGTGTGTCGGTAACTTGTTACTTTCTTCGCGTGAATTAAATCTTAATAAAATGCTTATTAATAGGCCTACCTAATATTAAATAGCTATAATATAGTACATAGCCAATATATAATGCGAGTAGACAGCTTTCGATTTTGACCGAGTTTCAGTACATGTTTAAGCTGCTCCAGACTGTGAAATGTATTATACTTCTTGTGTATTACTACCTAATAAATGTAACGAAGAACTAAACTACATACGTTTAGGCCTATGAGCAGCAATGAAAATCCAAAATGACCCAAACAAAATCACGAAAATGACGAATTGTAACCAATTACAAATCATCCTCCGAATTTACTTAATTTATCTCAGTTTCACCTCTATACGACCATCACTCTTACGTTTGTTTAAAAATTACTGAATATATAATATCAAAATTTGTTTGTATGACAGAAATATATAGGAATTTAATGACATATATAAAGAGAAAGCTGATACATATAACTTTGTTCCAACGATTTTGACGTGAATAAACCGCTTGTGCACACTGAAAGAATAATTACATCAAGGGGTTATGGGCCTAGAATAATCAATATTTGACTTCTGGTAATAGTAGTCAGCGAGATTAACGATACCGTTGCCATAGAATCGCTATCAAGAGTTGTAAGCTGTGGCGATGATAGCGTGTAGAAACTTTATGGAAACTACCCTTTTTGAAAAACTATGATTGAATTCCATGGGGTACTGTACTGCGTAGCCTATGCCATAACTGTTTCATTGTTTGACACACACCCCTCTGTTCGGAATTCCTTGTTCAATATCGCCGTCATCTTGTATAAAGCACTGATACCCAGTTGGGCACTCTAGTGGGAGACTATCGTCATCAGGAAAGATGCTTGTGGTACACACCTCCTCTGAAAAAATAACAGGTTATATAAATGCTTTCCTTTGTGGCCTTTTAACAAGATTTTGTCTTAGACTATATTTTCCTCAATTATTCATGTAATTTTTAAATTAAAAACATGGTTTAACCGCATGACCGCCAAATTTATATGAATAAAAGAAGTCTTTAAAAAATGTTGAAATGACTACATTTAAATAACATGAAGGTTTGCGTTCTATAAAATTAAAGATATTTCGAATATCATCTAATATAAAATAAAACGTTAAATCACAATGCAAATAAAAACCCATTAGTAAAGTACTCATTGGAGTTAAAAGGGAAAAAAAGAGCAATAAAGATTATCTTGATCAGTGACTGTAATGAAGAGATATGGGGATAGAGAGGAAGATGTAAGAAGCTAAATAATGAAATTCGAGTTCGCCCGAATGAGTCAAATCGTATACTGTTTAAGGTAGCGTGTGGTTGCTAAAAGGCACAACTTAATGGAATATATCATCTGATAATAACAACGAATAACAAAAATATATTTTACCGGCTAAATTGTCCTCTGGTCCGTCAATCAGCCATGCTTTTCCTTAAAAACAGGATTGATTTAAAATAAACATATTAAGCTCGATTTATTAACCAATTTGTGTGAATGGAAAGTGATCACCTTAATCGTTATAAATATGCATTTGCCGAATTTATTAATCATCGGCCAATCATTCAATTTAAGAATCTTGGGCCTACTTTTAAAACACTCACTTAAATAGTCATTAACAGTAATAAATAAGGAATCTAACTATTTAGTGGGGAAAACATATTTTTCTTTTTCAGTACATTACATCAGATAAAAATCACATGAGAAAATAAAAAATAAAAAATGAAATTAAAAATGTTGGTCTTTACCAACACATACATTATAATGACTACAAATACGGAACATTTTTTCAGATAGTCAGTTTCAATAAAGCTCATTAGTATGCGAGTTTAATATGGGTCATACTATGTTAAATTATAATTAATATTTTTGTTTTACTCTACCTTAACTTACAATAAATACCCTATTTTATAATGACTGCTTCCAAACCACGCTTCAGTGCAAACCATTGAATTTGCAGCAACGGAGTGGTCCAGTTATCCAATGTGTGCACCTCTCCTTTAAGATCCGCGAGCTTCTCCAGATTATTGTAGAAATACGGTAGTATTTTTGTGTAGTTTTGTTACAAAAACTGCAGAATAAAACTGCATTCACTTCAGATTTGAACAGAAATTCGGACCTTTCTTCCAAAGCACTGGCCGCCAGCATCTCTATTCTACACACGGATTCAATTTTCTGATCGATTCGACTGCTTCCCAAAATTGAGATCCGATGTGAATGCACCTTTAATATACCGTAAAACATCAAATTGAAGCCCTGGGCTTCTTTGTTTTGGATAAGTTTTGGAGATGGGCTTGTTTTCAAGATGGGCTTCTTTCGAGGCTACATTTGCAAAATAAGGGGGGGGGGGAGCCTTCAATTCGAGATGGGCTTCCATTTGGCTTCTATTCGAGGTTTTACGGTACAGTATTACTGTGACTGTTGTCTGTATTGCGCGTATTTTTGACCATGCACGATCTTCATTTACCTGACTCCCTTTGTCTTGTTGGTTCCTCTAGCCAATCGAAGACTGAAAGAAAATGTTATAAACCTCAACCAACATAAAACTAACATAATAACACAGAAAATGTTATAAACCTCAACCAATATAAAACTAACATATAGGCCTATTTATAATAATTCAATATTACTGCAAAGCATTTAATATGATGAGCTATGTCGAACACAGCACAATTTCTCCAAAATAGGCCTACACAGAAAATTATAACAATAAAATCCAAAACATAGGCCTACTGATTTTCACTTTTTGTTTTTCAAATCATACTTGCATACCGTACTTAACATATTGACGAATATTTATGTTTAATTAATAATGTTATAATCTATTTTAATCTATTTTATGAATTCTTGTTATCAATGTCGTCATTACCAAGAGGCGGGGTTATCACTTGCATACAGGTGTATGTACATCCGTTGTGGCAGCATTTTTTATTGTGACCGCACTGAGAATCAGCCCAGCAACTACAAGCGCTACACTCTTCTTGAGTACTTTTTCCGTGTGAAGACGGAGGGCATTCCCCTTCGTGGTTTCCAGTGGTACCGCGTCGTCTCCCCTGCTGTAAGAACAGTAGTTAAGTATTTAGTAACTAGGACGATTACCCGAAGCACAGTACAGTAATAATGGAAACAAAAAAGTTAAGAAATGAAAACGGGCCGGACGATTCAAGGACATCTATATAATTCAATCAATTAGATTCAAATAAAATTTATTCACTTCTTTAAACTATTATTATAATACTACATAATTAAAATGGATATGTACAATTTAAGTAACAAAGTAATCATTAAGGTGAAGGGGAAAGAATAAGGCAACTTCTTTAGGACAGGTCTGTGTCAGAAGATCCAAATAAAAGGATAAAGTAAAATACAGAGCGACAAACACAAAACCAAGAACAAGAACAACAAAAAACAGACAAGTCAAATAAAGTAAAGTGAACTGAAAGAAACGTTTAGGAGAAAAAAATGGGGAATTTAGTAAATAGAAATAATATTGGAGTTTAAACAACTTCTTGTTAAATATGTTTTTAAATTTTAAATTCAAGAGGAATTTTATTCCAGCATTTGGGACCACTGAACTGAAAAATGAAAATAAGAGCACTGGTACGAGGTAAGGGTAAGTGCAATTGATGAGCATATCTAGTGAAATAATTATGATCATCTGAATTAAACTGAATCAATTTATTGAAAAATGAAGATTTTCTGTGAACTATCATGCATGAAGGAATATTGTTAAAAAGTATTAAGGTCGCAAAATTTCCATATAAAAAGGAAAAAATAGAAACAGTATGACTAATGGGATGTCAAGCCAAAATAATTTTAATAACTTTTTTTTTATTTGGAGTTTAATTAGTTTGTCACGATTATGAGGGTAATTGTTGGCCAGACAATAATACAATAACTTAATTAAGGCAAAACATAAGATAACTATATAAAGAATGCGTATTATAGATTGGGGAATCAATTTGGATAGTCTATAAAATAATGTCAATGTTTTTTTAGATTTTTCCAGGGATACAGTCGATATGAGATAACTAGTTTAACCTGAGTCTGCATAGAGGGGGCTGGTGGTAGACTTATTTAATAGGTGACAGAAAAATAAGGTACACTAGACTATGAACTCATGAAATGTGCTTGTAAAGAAAGCACAAGAGGAAAGCGAGATAGCTAAAACAGGGGTGGCGCCAGTGCACGCTCTTCATCCCCAATTTCGTGTAAAATAAAACCCGTCGGAGAGATGAAAATAATGTATGAAACCCCTAAATTGTCATAGTTTCCAGAAGTTTCGTACCCCTGGACCCCGGGCCCTCAGAGATTTTGAGCGACGTCCGACCACGCCTATTTGACCCTCGTCGGGAACATTGCACCCCATACTGGGACATCGCAGACACTCATTGGTCAAGTCCTGGAGCCACCCATGAGATGAAAGAAAAATGAAGCGGCCTTCACTCATGCATGCAGTGGATAAAGATATGCGAGATAGACAGATGGACAAACGGACGGTCGGACAGCTCAGGTAAATATTTTGGTTGATAGTTCACAAAAATTAAACTGTAAACTTTTGAGGATAATATTTTATAGGCCTATAAATTCATAATTTATTGAGTGTTGCGCACGCGTGTATAGCGTGGCCTGTGCATGCTCTCGCCGTCTTTCTAGGTCTACAGGTTTAATAAGCTGCTTGTTAGTGTAATGTATCTGATTGTATAAATTAAGTAAACTGGTCCCCCACAGAGAAAAACAGCAAGTGTATTATCAACAAAAACTTCCAGAAATGATCTACAGCGACCTGAAAACTTGGGAGTTCATGAACACAGATGTTTCAATATGCCACAAGGAACAAAAATCTAAAAAGGCACTTTACGTTTTAAAGGCGAAGAGCAAATTTAGTGACCGAAAAAAATTGAGATATTCCTGGCATTAGTCCAAACCGATGAATGTATGTAGTACCTCGTGTACTTTTTTTGCCCGTAGTGGTGTTGATTCCAACCTGGCATAAACATAAGTAGGACTACTTTCTATGTAAAATGCATAATATTTTTCTTTATTATTCCTTGTCAACCTTATTAATGTATACAGTACAGTACAGTACAGTACTAGTATTCCCATGGTAGAACCAACTGACAGGTTTGTGGCTCATTTCAACTTGATATCCGCCGGCAGCATAATATTCCATCAGTTCAGGAGACGCAGTTGTCAGAATAAACTTTTATAGCAGTATTTTCTTTGTGAAAAATTATGATTACAGTAGTTATTTCTACTACGTTCCTGTCTATAGTAGGCCTATAACCGAAATGGGTGGGGATTCCAATTCCGACGCAATCCCAGCTAACGATTTAGGATATTATAAGCACGTTGCAGTTTGGTATTCAAAACATTAATACATATATACATTTTCAATTTTTTTTTTACATTTTTATTTTCAAATACAAATACAGAATTCTCTATTTCGGCCGTTGCTCAAAATCTCTAAACTAATATGTAGAAAATACACATACATTTTATCTCCCCTACGATTTGTTGTTTTTCTTCCCGATGGATGGGGGAGGCCTTCCCCGACCGGGGGGGGGGCTGCCACCCCTAGGCTTTTTAAAAAGTAGAGAGGGGCCCAAGTGAAGAGAACAGAATAAAGCCATAATTAAAGATTAAATAAAAATAACACGGAGGTATAAAATATACCTCCATGAAAATAAGAACGAAAAGAAGTAAATTATAAACAATGGAACAATAACACACATTTAAATTAACATACAACTAAGTTTATAAGTACAAAGGTAATATGAATATTTGAAATGTTATAAATAAAATATAAATAGTAATATAAATGCAAAGAAAAAAAATAGTCAGGGAGTCAAAACATTGTAGCAAGAAGTACTGGTACTTCGACAGTTGACAGTCAGTTACAAGTGAGCATTGTAACGGTCAATAAATAATGAACTTAATTGATTTAGCTAGCATCTTTCCGAGATGATTCAATAGTATTCCATAATATTGGACCAGTGCAAGATACGTGGAGACTAGAACCTGAAAGTACACTTTTTTTTAAATAAGAACCAGTAAAAGTTTGCCCAGGCTCAGTGTTCTTATTTTTTGGCCAATTTCAGGCTCAAAATGTTCTTATTTTGTTCTAATTTTACACACTTTTCAAACATGGAAAATTATTATTGTACAGCAGTATACACTGTACTGGGAGGTGAAAGCGGCCCTGCAAAAAATGGTCCCTGAAAGAAAGGCCCAAAAAATGGCCCCACAAAAAAAGCCCCGGTTGTTGAACTCGGCCAAGCCTCAATTTGTTCTTATTTTGTTCTTAATTTTTAAGCAAATTCAGCCTCTGTGTTCTTATAAAATGTGTTCTTATTTTTAAAAAAAAGTGTAATCTCAAAAGAGTCTTAAGATCATTTTTGTGTCTGGTACTATATTGATGGCAATGTCCATCAGTAAAGTTAGTAAGCCTAGATTGTTATTCAGCTTGTTTACTGCATTGTCCATATAGCGGTTTGATATTTATTAATATCGGTATACTTTAAGTACACCAACTGTGGGAAAGTATGGACATCACAAGCAGACCAAGAGATGGAACTAATAATTTTTTTTAAAATTTAAATTCAAATAGGTTTTGACAATCTAGTAATGTAATTATTTCATCAAGAAATATTACAATGCAATACGGATTCAATTTGAGATCTATAAATGGTAAGTAGCGCAGAAGAGGGTAAGTAATGTCTAATTTTATAAAACATACGTCTCTAGATTCTTTCTTGCTAAACTCATAAATGTGTTTATTAAAATTTAAAATATCGTCAATCAAAACACTAAGAAATTCTGTGTGTTTACAGTTATCTATTTTATCCAAATTAAATATGCAAGTTAATAGTCATTGCAAAAGTAATGGAGGTTTGGTTTTCTTCACATTAAATGAAAGTTTATTGCATTGAAAGTATACGCTTACCTAGATAATTTTGTATTAAGTGTTTCCTGAAGAATATAAACACATGGGAATAAAACAGATTAGTATCATCTGGGGATGAGGTGAGAAAATTTATGATTATGGCACCTCTAGATGACCAGAAATGGCACTCTCAGACTTACAAATTGAATATAAATTTCCTATTTTCTTAAATTTGTTTTATTTCGAAAAAATTAGTGAAGGGGGGGGGGGGCTGTTATCAGTGAGAAAAAAACCAGAGCCTTGCAGAGGTCAACGTTCTTATGCATGATACATGACTTAAAAAGTATATATACATATATATATATACATACATATATACGTATATACATATACGTTTATATATACATACGTGTATATATATACATATATAGGCCCTATATACTTGCATTATATACGTATACACGCTTATATATATATATATATACGTATACACGCGTGTACATATATACACGCACGTGTATATATACGTATATATATATACGTGTATATACATATATATATGTGTGTATATATGTATACGTGTATATATATACATATATATAAATATATATATAAATAGTATATATAAATATAAATTAATTAATATATAATATATATATAATATAAACATAAATAATATATATACATATATATATACATATATACATAAATATTATATATAATATATATATTATATAATATATATATATAAAGAAAGTAATAAAAAAACAGCTGTGAGTTGTAAACATACTAAAAGCAATATAATTTATTAAATCACAAATATTTCAAACACTCCTGTGTTCTTCCTCAGTGTGAGTTGTCCTCACACAGGAGTGTTTTAATAAATTATATTGTTTATTTATTATTTATTTATTTATTCTTTATACTGGGTTACCTCTTCAGTAAAAAGTTACTGTTCTCCCAGAGGGCCCAGTACACATAAAGCATTAAAATCGCAAGAGAAACAACACAGAACATTAAAAAAAAAAAAAACACGAATGAAGTAAAAAATTACTAAAAAATTACTTTAAAAAATTAAAAAATATTGCTTCTAGTATGTTTACAACTCATAGCTGTTTTTTATTACTGTCTTTCTATATTTAATTTATCGAAGCAAACGTCGAATCT